TACTGTCTTTTTGTAGTTGCGTTTCTTTTATAAATAACGTCTGACATTGATGCTTTATCAATTTGCATTGGTTTTTACATTAATCAACATATTTTACAGAGTAAAAGCTACTGCCAATTAATTTCAGAAACATTTCTCCTACATTACTCTCGCAGTCGACTATTATTTGTTCCAATCTTTTATTATAAGCAACGACTTTTCCGTAACTAGCCATTAGTTGGGTTCTGCGTTTATAAGCTTCGTTATTAATACCGTGTTCGAAAAGATACCTTATCACATCAAAGAATTCATTTTCTTCAATTGTAGTAATCTACAAAAAAAAATGATCTTAAAAAATCTCTTATGGTTTGTTAACATTTTTTTTCTTACCATTTTCTTTAGGTCCTCATCGTCTATTCCAAGGACAAATAATGTCTGCACTAAACTGTCAAATGAACATGAATTTAATAAACTGTAGGAAATGCCATTTATTTTGTGCGCTGTTAAATCAATATTTGACGAATGTTTAAATATGCCCACTTCAGTAGACTGCTTGCATTGTAATTTTTTAGAAATACGATCTTTCTGATGTCCTAAATAGAGAGGTAATTGTTTTTTCATGCGTGCATTTGAAATATCTTTTAATATATTATTTTCGTTTTCATCGTTTTTAAAATATTCAGTTATCGACGTATTTATATCATATTTTTCTTCTTTAATATTTTCTTTATCACAGACATCTATAAAGTTATAGTTACTAGTAACATCTATTTTTGGAGTCTTTTTGTAATAATTTTTCCTTTCCAGTTTTCTTTCTCTTGAAGCTTCTGTGATTCTGTTACACAGATTTTATCTAATTTACATTGGTCTATTTTAGAATTAGCATTGACCAAGAGCATTTCACCAAATAAATGATCGATGTGTCTTTGGACAAAAGTATCTACTCTTATTGTTTTATTTTTTACGTCTTTAAAAACTATATTTTTATTTTTTTTATTTCTCCTTCGCAACTTGCTGTCGATCCTCCCTTGCTTCCGTAACCTATTTTGGTCTCTAATAACTTTGTCCATAATGGTAAACAGCAAAATATCTTTTTCAAAATTTTGGCAAATTGAATATTTCGATAGGCATTTGGTCTATCGGTTTCGCTCTTGGATTCTTTTTCTAATTCATTTTCTATATCTTGAAGCCATTCTTTCCAATCCTTGGATATCGTTTCCGTAAGATGCGTATTCTCCGTAAAATCATTCAAGCTAATAAATAGCAATCTTCTAAGATTATATTTTCAATTTCATCTTTAATTGTACCTAAAAACATTTATACAATATTATACATTATACACATTACATTACATTATACATTAATATTCGAGAATTATTGTGAGATTGTTATGCTTATCTGTTATGATAGATTTTAAATATCGTTCTCGTTCTTTAAGTTTGTTAGTTTCTGTTTCGTATTGCGACAATGTTAATATTGCTTCGATCATTTCTCTCGCCTCCGTTTCGTCTTTGCAATTGCAGAGAGCACCAATACATGAAGCATAAAATGTTTTTAATATTTTTGTACAACTTTTCAATAAGCGAGTATACTTTTTTATAAAGTGCGCTCTGTCAATACGTATACAGCAATGAGGAATATTATTTTTACATTTGTTTGCATAATCGTAAATATTAAAACATCCATCAAATGTTCTCGCTGCCGCATTAAGAAATGCAAAAGAATAGTTTACGCATATCTGTTTAGGTACAGGAATTTTTAGTGATAACCATTCATTGAGCCAATGCTGTATGCTTGCAACCGAATGTTGTTCTGTTATCATTTGTGCAATAGAAAATTGTCCTTCTTCGACATTTATAACAATTAAATAAAATAAAATATAGGCCGTTTTTTTGCCAACGCACATCATAATTTCTTTAAATCGTGCTCCAGTTGCATCAATATAAATTTCCAGATTGTTCTTATATTTTGAAAAAAGTTTTTTATAAATCTGTACTTGCAGGTTTACGCAGTAGTGGATATAAAATGGATCAAGTCCTATATTTCCAATGCAATTGCTGTACTTTGTCATATTTTTCATAATAACAAGTGCTTGTATAGGATTGGAATGTAGATAACGAATGCACACTTCTTCGTTTTGTGCAACATGCAATACATTGCTAGATCGAATTAAAGGACATTTCGGATCCCCGAGTTGCATTAAATCTGCAGCTTGTGTTGCTCGATGAGTATAATATCTCTTTTTCTGGACTTCTTTAACCATCATTTTCCGAGTTTTCCCTCGTAAATATAATGGACCACATTTTTCAATTTTTTTCCTTTTTTAAAATTACATAATAATATGACATTATTGTCACAATCTCTCAATTCGAATTTTACGTGAATGCTGCTACCACATCGACAATATCCTAATTTATAAACAAATAATAATATAACATTATCAATTGAAAAATATACTGTAGAAACAATTGCAAAAATGATCAAAAAGAAAAGTTTAAATAAATTTAAAGAATAAAAAGAAGCAAAAAGCTTAGGATATTTAGAGTAAAAATAATAACTATAATTAAGATTTATAATATTAAAAAGACGTAAATTAAAAGTATTTCCAAGTATAGTTTAGCCAAATATATAGTATAGTTTACCTTTAAGATATCCTCCGTTTATGTTTTGCGGTATATAATGGTTGATATAATTTATTGTACAGGATTGCAATCGTCTTGTTTTCCAGAATAACTTTGCAAAAAATTCTTGATAAAAACCGGATCTAAATCTTAAATTATTTCTGTAACTTGATTTCTTATTTAGATTACGTCCGATTCTTTTGTGCAAACGTTCTTCGATTATCGAATCAAACTCTTGTTTAGAAACAGAAATTTCAAACGTATCAATTTCGTCATCTGTTATGAAACATTCTGATCGAGATGACTCTAAACTCTTGTTAACTGATGATTCTGAGCGTTATTAACTAAGGAGTCTGAACTCTTGTTAATTGATGTCAAGTTTATTTCATTGTTTAGCAAAATATCCTTAATATTATAAATATTGTTGCAGGCATATGTGTACAAAGAAAATAAACTTATTGTCTCGTTCATTTCTTTTGAAATTGAAAGCCAAATCATCTTTTGGACATATTTGATTATTAACGACAATATCATTTTTATATTTTTCGAAACACTTTTTTAATAGTTTCACATTAACTTTAGGCGGCCTTTTTCTTTTTCTGATCATTTTAACTTGTTTAGCACTGGATTAATACGTGATTGATATAAGTTCACTTTATATTTTTGCTTAAACACTCAATCGAATTTCGGAGCTTTCTTCGGACTGCACCGCAGCTAAACTTGGTCCCAACTAAAAAATACTGTGCCACTCGCTAAAAACAATCGAATACCGCGAAAAAAAGGACTCTCTTCTTTCGAAAAAGAAAAAAATTCGTCGAATAACAGAAGAACTAACACCAGCAATACTATTTTATAAATTATAGTTTATATATCACACACAGACACACACAGACACAGACACACGCATCATTTTAGAGATTAATATTACATTTATCTATATTATGTACACAACACACACATACACATACAAAATTATAGAAATATAAAAAATAAAAAAGTTATATTATTCACAAATAGACTTATATAATAAATAAAATATATACATTTTTTATACTTATTTCGCGAGCAAAAAATCGAAACCCGGATATCTCGAAAGCAAATAATTCAGGAAACATTCTGACGCCATTATTATGCAAGCAACTAATTACTTTGAGGCACTTTACTCTTGTAACTTGGACCGCGCGGATCGTTTTTAGCCAGTTTTCTACACTTATTTCGCGAGCAAAAAATTCGAAACCCTAATATCTTGAGAGCAAATAATTCGAGAAACATTTTTATGCCATAATTATGCGAGCAATTAATTACTTTAAGGCACTTTATTCTTGAACGTCCTATTTTATTCTTGATTATTTTTAAAAGTTGGAGCAAAAAAATTATTTTCTAAAGTAAAAAGTAGCAAAAAAATAGCAAAAAATTTTAGTATTATTAATTTTTTGCTTTTATTTATGTAAATGCTATTTTTTACAATGGCTAAGATAGCTTAATCTTAAGCTATCTAGCCCTCTGTAATTTTTAAAAAATTGGAGCAAAAAAATTATTTTCTGAAGCAAAAAATAGCAAAAAAATAGCAAAAAATTTTAGTATTATTAATCTTTTACTTTTATTTATATAAATGCTATTTTTTACAATGGCTTAGATAGTTTAATCTTAAGCTATCTAGCCCTCCGTAATTTTTAAAAAATTGGAGCAAAAAAATTATTTCTTGAAGCAAAAAATAGCAAATAATTAGCAAATAATTTTCATATAAAATTCATTTTGTTCTGATAATTTGGCTCAGACAGTTTAATATACCTGCCCCTCTACCCCATGTCGATACCGAGCTTCCGAGGCTAAGCCATTGTGCCCGCTAATTATTTGTCGCGATATTACTGATTGTGAGTGGTCTGACCGTACCTGGCGCCCAATCTTTTGTTCCGAGTAGCGATCGAGAGAACGCGAGAGCGGCACGGCAGTCTCCCCCCCCCCTCTCTCTTTCTCTCTCTCTCGGCCAGAGAGGACGGAGAGACGGTTGGAATATATATATATATATATATATATATATATATATATATATAGTATATACATTGTTTAAGGCGTTCTTTATTAAATGGACTACTTCATCTACCTAAAATTTAGACTAATAAAAAATTGTTTATATATATATATATATATATATATATATATATATGTATAATATATATGTATATATTTATGTAATATATAATATATATTACATTATTAGCTCTTATTGCCTTTTTATTTGTAGATTAAAATTTTCTAAAGAGTTGTTATAAATTATATATAATATATATATATTGTATGAGTATTGTTTTAGAGCAAATATATATATATATATATATATATACTCTAAAACAATACTCGTTTTGTATTATCTCTTTTTACGTTATTCTAATTTTTCAGATTCTTGACTCGTAACATAAAAAAAGGATAAATTAACTCGAACAATGGCTAAAATTAATTTGAAAAGAGTAATTAAGGACAGAATTCCTCTTTTGAAATGGCTACCTCTGTATAAAGCGGAACATATACTGAGTGATCTTGTTGCGGGTGTCACCGTTGGATTAACCTTGATACCTCAAGTAAGTACTTTAAGCAACATACACAAATATTTAATATTAATTAAATAAAAGGTAATTGGGCTCTACCGGATTATATAAAATCAAATCAATTATAAAAGGTGAAGGAGCCGTAACTAGTTCTTATTATATCTATAATTTATATTATAAATTGATTTAGGTTCGACAATCTAAATCAAAAATAAATAATACCTAATAACTTGTGAATGTCATAACAACTAAGATTCCATTAAATCACACAAAATTTTATAAATTCTGCCACTAACAATAATTCATTAAACTTGTAGGAAATCCATATTAACATTAAAATTAGTCAAATAGATATAAAATACGTTGTCAATGAAAAATTAAAATAGTTATATTATTACTAATAATCAACTAAAGTCATAGGAATGTATATTACCTCCAAATACGTCAATAAATATAAATTATATCCTCAAAGAAAATTAAAATAATATAATAATAATGGATAAAACTAAAATTTAAACAAGGAATAAGAATCAACGAACATTACAATAAAAAAAAATTACAATAAAAATTTTTTTAGGAAATTATTTTATCTTATAATCATTTCATAACAGAACTTACTAGAAAACATATTGTCATATATGTATAACATTTAGGAAAATAAATTAATATTGATAATTTAATTACTGAAATTAACATTATATAAATTACATATATTATAAAAATTTGTCCGGAAAGTAATGCGTCGCATTTTTTTAAAAAAGAATTTATTGATCGCATAGGTAAAACAACTTAAAATTGTTCGAAGTATGACCCTTCTGCGTCAATACATTTTTGCCAACGCGATTTCCATACGTCATAAGATTTCTGGAACTCCTTGACTGGGATGCTGTTCAGGGAGGCCGTCGAAGTAGCTTGTACGTTGTCAACCGACTCGAGCTGTTGTCCTTTGAGCTCCCTTTTCAGCCGAGGAAATAAAAAAAAGTCCGCCGGGGCCAAACTTTCTTGAGCATTTCAAAAGTTTCCAGCGGCGTCTTGTCCAGCTTCACGCAAAACTTTATCGCATAGCGTTGCTCTATCGTTCTCTCCATCACAAGTTCGACGCGACCACTAAGCAGAGGTTCACAGAATAAGCCGTCCTAACCCTCCAAGCGCATGGAAACAATTGAGCGACCTACCGTTGGAAAGCTAAGGGTACCCCCCTTCCTCCCCAACCGGTCCCATCGCTCTGCGATGTATAGTCGCGTCACAAAAAAATGCGACGCATTACTTTCCGGACAAACCCTGTATATTATATTATAATTAAGAGAACCTACATCTTATCACACCTCTGTGAAGAAAATGTCAAAATCCGCTCCATATCACAAAGAGATGACGCTAACAGTATTCTCGTCGAGTGATCAACCTCGAATGACATAAATATACACAAATGTCCTGATTTTTACCAACATATGTGGAAGCGAGAAATAAAAGTGGGATAACTTCAGTTATGTAGAAGGGAATAAGCTGAGCACGGGCAAGTAATCATTCGTTAGGAGCTCCGTATTGCTCTGTCTGTTTAATGCCATAATAAATTTGTCTCTTTAATGCCATAATGAGATTGAAACGTTTGTAATTTTCAATAATAAGAATATTAGATCGGCTCTTTTAATATAAAACACAATATACACATCCTCCCTCGCGGCCATAGAGCCAAACGCGATGTTATTGCGAAAATTAAGCAAGAAGATTAAGGAATCTGGGAATTTGTATCCTATGGTTGGGATCTCAAAAATTCTCCTTGTTCCTTTTTTAACTTTCCCTATAAAGAAATAAGCGAGAAAAATATTGGTCCGAAAGTTGGCTAAATATTTTTCTCGCCTCGTTGGTATTTAGTCAACTTTCGGACCAATATTTTTCTCGCCTATTTCTTTACAGGGGAAGTTAAAAGAGGAACAAGGAGAATTTTTAAGATCCCAACCATAGGATACAAATTCCCAGATTCCTTAATTTTTTTACTTAATTTTTGCAATAACATCGCGTTTGGCTCTATGGGCGAGAAAGAGGAGGTGTATATCGTGTTTGTAATTTTGTAATTATAATATAAATTATTGACAATATGAACTAGTCACGGCTCTTTCGTCCTTTATAATTAATTTGATTTTATATTTAATATTACTTGAAAGCAGCTTTAGAGAATCGCGCTTAAGGTGATGCTGGAACCTATTCTATTTTACTAACAAAATATTAATTTGTAATATATATATATATTATGTTTATTTTTTATTGCTTTTATAAAATTAAAAATCCTTTTCAAGTACATATGTTAATAATAAAATAATAAAAGGCATGGATAGTCATCTTTGATTTAAAAAATAGAAATATGATGTTAATAAATTTAGCGTAAATATGACTAGAATATCTAAAATTTTGTTCATTTTTGTTCCGGGCAGCCTCCGCGTGATACATTTTAGGTAATGCTAATGCCGACGGTACTGTAAAGTTCAAACCTCATAACTCGGAAAGTACTTAATAAAATATTATTTTCTTATAGTGTTTTGGAAAGTTCTTGAGATAAGCTGCAAGAATATGTAATAAAAAATAGAGGCTTCTATTTAAAAAATAAAGTTAACCTTAAAATGATTTCTAAATTTGACCCCTAGGTCAAAGTTGAGGTCACCAATAAATGCTTCATTTTGAGCCCTACAAGTTTCATTCGAAACATTTTTTTTTACAATGTTTAGTTTTCGAAATATTCAGGGGTCTCGATACTTTTGGCCCACCCTGTATAAAAAAACAATAAAAAATAAAAATAAAATTACAAGTAACATTTAGTCGGTAAAATTTTTACAGACAGAGCATAATCTTTAAAATATTAATTTTTGCAATTGTACGCAGGCAATAGCTTATGCAGGCTTGGCGGGTTTAAAACCGCAATATGGGCTTTATAGCGCATTCATAGGAAGTTTTATTTACGTCGTTTTTGGGTCGTGCCGTGAAGTTAATATTGGTCCAACCGCGCTCATATCTTTATTAACTTGGGCATACGCAAGGTATGAACACATTAAAACCACTCGTAATTTTGCATAAAGTGTAAAAAGGTAATAAAATGATATAAATGTTATTGTGATCAGATTACATTTATGAATTTTTTATTGTAATAAATTCTGCGTTTTTATACGCGCATATCTCAATTTTTTTAAATTATATATATTCAATTATATATTTCAATCAGACTAACTATATACATATATTTTTCAAATAATTCTTTAATTGTTAAGTTCCTAAAAATGACTTATTATATATTTGTATTTTTATTTAATTATTATAGGTCATTTCACGTAAGATTAGCCAATCCCCTCCCCCCCCCAATCCCAAAAACAATAAAATTGTATTAAAGTAAATTTAATTTCCACGGTACCAAAATTTAGCTTAAAACATCTAGTTTTTTATGCCGTGTGGCGATTTTGAAAAATGTTAAATAATGACCTTGGTTGTGTCAGTTATATAAAAATCGGTATGTATTTTCTAATTCAAATTTTTACTATTTCCTTACAAATGAAGTACAAAAGTTATTTTTAATGTGATTTGATCCGCTGAATCCGAATCTGAAGTCAGAAAAAAATTTATATTTTTGCAAATAAATAATTAGTTGTTATTGATATCCACTTCTAAAAAATGAAAATAATAAAAATCATTTTTAAAAATGCTTTTTCTCTTTTTACTACGACATTTCTACTACGACTAGCTTTTTTTTAATGGTGTATTTTATGAACAAACCTTTGGTTCATCAATGGGTTCACCTTTGTCACCCATACTAGCAGATATCGTTATGGACGATTTGAAAACAAATTGCCTCGATAAGTAAGATTTTCGTATTTCTTTATATTTTAGATACGTTGACGATATTTTAACTGTGATTCCGAAAGATAAAATAGATGTAATTCTTAAGACATTTAATGAGTATCATAATCGCTTAAAATTCACATACGAAATAGAAAATAATAACAGGATAAATTTTCTAAATACTACAATAATAAGAACACAAGGAAGATTAATTACCAATTGGTACAGAAAACCGACGTTTTCAGGTAGATACATAAATTATTTGTTCAAATCATTCAGAGAAATACAAAATTAATACCATTATAAATTTAGTTGATCATGCGATTCTACTGTCTAACGACAAATTTCATAGGCAGAATATTGAAATTGTGAAGGGAATCTTAGTCAACAATTGTTTTCCATTGAATATTGTCAACCGCATTGTTAACAAACGCCTCAGATTTTTAAGACACAATAGGAATAATAATGAACCACGGTGTCAACGGAAATTTGACTTAAAATCTTGTTTTACATTGCCTTACATAAAGCATCTTAGCGACAACATAAAAAATTCTTTCTCAAAGTTCGGTATAAATGTAGTGTATTTGATCCCAAAAAATAAAGAGACTCAATAATCGCGATAAAGATAAAATTTTAAAATTGAATAGAACTGAAATGATATACAAAATTGCATGTAAAAGTTGTACTTTTTCTTACATCGGACAAACAAAAAGACACCTGAAAACCCGCATTAGAGAACATAAAAATAATATTAAATTACATGAAAATAATTACTCTGTAGTGAGCAAACATAGAGTTGAATTTGGACACGATTTTGACTGGGATAATCCGATTATTTTACATCATGAGAAAAATACTAGGAAAAGAGAAATAACTGAGATGTTTTATATAAAAAAGTGTAATAATACATTAAATTCTCAGATAGACACTGAAAATTTGAATATTATTTATAATAAGGTCATCAATACAGTTTAAATGTTTACACGACATGTACATACAGTTGTTAACTAAACGTCTCAGTAGACACACGTGTTTTCACACATATATTTTTATAGTGACGACTATCATACATATTTTATTATATTGACATCAAAAAATCTTGCATTTTAACATTTAACGTTGTAAGTTTTCGCATACATAAATTTTTTTATAAATATAAATTGAGTGTTAAACAGGCAATAAGAGCCACATCGCGGATGACAGTGCGTTATCCCAACGAAACTAAATTTTTTCGTTAGGATTAAAACTTGTGCACAAGGCACTAAATTTTTACTTGGACACGGCCAAGATTTAAAATTGAAATAATCTCTACAAGAGATTTAATTCCATACATCCCCTGTTCCCCTGTTTATATTGCAGAGCCTTGTTAAATTCTTAATTTGTACACGCTGGCTTAAAGGCGTTTGTTTATCAACATTATTATATATATAATAGAGAAAAGTATAGAATTGAAGAGATCTGAATAGCTCAGTTGGAAGAGCAGTCGCCCGGCAAGCGAAAAGTCTCGGGTTCGATTCCCGATTCAGCGACTTTCGGATCTATATTTTTCTCTCGCATTTATTTCCTTAAGAGGGGAACAGGGGATGTATGGAATTAAATCTCTTGTAGAGATTATTCCAATTTTAAATCTTGGCAGTGACCAAGTAAAATTTGGTGCCTTGTGCACAGGTATTTAATTCTAACGAAAAAATTTTAGTTTCGTTAGGATAATGCACTGTCATCCACGATGTGGCTCTTATTGCCTGTTTAACACTCTCAATTTATATTTCTATTTATATTACAGAACCTTGTTAAATTCTTAATTAATATATATTTTTTACACATTTTTTTGTGTGTCTGTCTTTGAGTTAATTGTTTCTTTAATTTAATAACTATTGTAAATTAATTTTATTTTTATTTTATTTTATATTTTAATTTATTTTAATTTATTTTATTTTGTACATTAATTGTATTTTTATTTTTATTGTTATATTTATTGTAATTTATTTTTTTTTTTAATTTATTTTATTTTATTTTTGTGTCTAGTATTACTTTTTCGCTTTTATGTTTATTAAATTACAATATTTTGTGGATTTTGTATTAATTCGTTTTTATTAATGTTTATTGTATCATTTAAATTGTAAAATTATTATTACAATGTTCATTTGATAAGGACCTAAACCAAAGGTCGAAACGTAATGAGGAAGATCTAATAAATTAACATTTTTTGCCCAGTTTGGTCGTCTAAAAAATTTTTTCAAATAGTTTTATCCTTGTGATCAAGAAACATGGTAGTGTCTCGCGCCCAGTTCGCGGCATAGCCGAATAAAAAGAGCGAGGCACACCGTGTATCTTTACGCGAAGCGGAGACTTGAGTCTATTATAAATTTCGAATGCACAATAACGGCTGAAGCAATCGTGTTTTTACTCGGCTTAATCGATAGATTGAGTTCGAATTATATTATAAAAATGTCTTTATTTTTGCTTTACGTGATTTGTAAGCAGAAATATCATAATGCAAAATCTAAATATAAAAACACAATCTCCACTTGATTCCTCTCGACCAATAGAGCCAAACGCGATGTTAGTGCGACAATTATGAAAGAAAGAACATTTGGAAAAATAAGGAATTTGAATCCTATGGTTGGGATCTCAAAAATTCCCCTTGTTCCTTTTCTTAACATCTCCTGTAAAGAAATAGGCGAGAAAAATATTGGTCCGAAAGTCGGCTGAATCGGGAATCGAACCCGAGACCTTTCGCTTGCCGGGCGACTGCTCTTCCAACTGAGCTATTCAGACACTTACGAATAAATATTCTTCTCAATGTTTATACCCCCCACCCACCCAAAGCGTCGTAATTAGGTCCAGACGCGACGAACAATAATGAGAATACTTATTAAGCGAAAGGTCTCGGGTTCGATTCCCGATTCAGCCGACTTTCGGACCAATATTTTTCTCGCCTATTTCTTTACAGGGGATGTTAAGATTAGGAACAAGGGGAATTTTTGAGATCCCAACCATAGGATTCAAATTCCTTATTTTTCCAAATGTTCTTTCTTTCATAATTGTCGCACTAACATCGCGTTTGGTCGAGAGGAATCAAGTGGAGATTGTGGTTTTAAAAATTAAAAGAGCTGACTTAATAAGTATTCTCATTATCTAAATATAAAAAATTTTTTTTAAGAAACGTCCCCCTCATCATCATCGTCCACGCATCATAGTAATATTGTCACAGATTAATAGACAGATCGCCAAAGGCCTGTCTAAAGAGGAGACTGTCATATTTGCCCCTTACCGACACACTTTGCCCCTGGTTCGAGTTTAGGCTAATAAAATCCATTAATTTTACCAAAAAAATTTGCCTCTAGTGCAAGTTCAGGCTAAAATCCTTTGATTATACGTGTAAAATAAAAAGATTTTAGCTCGAACTCGCACCAAAAGCAAAGTTTAGCAAAGGTAAAATCAAAGAATTTTATTAGCCTGGACTCGAACCAGGGGCAAAGTGTGTCGGTAAGGGGCAAAAATGACAATCTCCTTTTTAAACAGGCCTTTAGCGATCTGTCTATTAATCTGTGGTATCGTGCTACACATATTTACACGTATACAACACATGCGCACACATATCACACGTACACAACACATGCAATAGATATGTAGTAGTAGTAGTCTTGTACGACTCTCACGTTTCACAACAGATGGCATTAGTGCTCTGTGATCTGTAGCGCTCGTGCACGTGTATATATATATTTAGCGGGAAAGAGATTCCTGCTCATGCGTCTTGGATGCAGGTAGATATATAATAACTATTTGGAAACCACTTCTGAGGCGTCTCGGATCGATAAGTATGTGATGAGTATATTTTTTATATGTATAAAAAATACTTTATTTCTTCTTTGGTAACAGACAGTATCACAGTATTAAAGGCAGACAAAAGAGAGTGTGTTCGGTGAGGAAGAACTAAGATTACTCAATATCTAGATAGGAATCATCTTTGGCTAGTGCGCATGTGCGCGGTATAAAGTTACTAGAGAGGTGCCATAGATCTTGACAGTGTGCGGGGTTATGTACCCAATCAGTGTTAGGATCCGTACGATAATTATCGTATTTGTACAATAATTTTAACTATTATACGATGTATGATAGCACTTTGGTATCGTACATAAATTTACGATAATTTGAGAAAATTAGAAAATTTTTTAAGTTAACGACACAAATTGAGATAAGATATAAGGCTCCTACACACAAGACGCGGCAACGCTTGCTGCGCGACAAAAAGTGATGTGGTAGCCAATAAATTTTAGGCGAGTTTCCACTGAGCGCGTCATCCGTCGCGTCAACGAATTGATTCGCGCACTCACTGTAGAAAGAGAGGTACTATATGGAAGGCCTATGTTAATCTTTTTTGCTAGCATCTCATTGATGATTTTGTTTGGGAGGGAAACTATCTTCTAATTATAGTACCTTTCTTTCTATAGCGAGCGCGCGCTTGCCTTTCTCAATGCTTATTGTCAGTAATATAGATGTCAATGGTATGTTTTGTGCTCTTTCACAATTATTTTGAGGTTAAAAAGTCATTATATAGTCAAAGAATTTGATCAATAGGTGGAATCGATATTAAAGTAAGTACGATTTAAGTTTCTTTTTTACAAATTATTTTCTTTCGTGTATAAAGTATCATAAAATTTTCTTTATTGAACAATTTGTATAATAAAAATAAAATGAATACAGGTACTCGGTCTTCTTATTTAGAATGGAAAATATGGAAGACGATGGTTTTATTTATGTAGACAATATAGATAGTGATTGTACACCACCTAAAAAGGCAAAACAATCACATCAAATGCAAAAATTTAGAAACCTTTGGCTTGCACAAGAAGAATATAAATTGTGGCTTGCAAAAGTTTCTGATGACCCTTACAAAGCAAAATGTAAACTGTGCAATACAACATTCACGGCAGAGATAACAGTAATTAAAAATCATTTAAAAGCACAGTCACCAACGTAGATACATTCAGACCTCACAATTGAAAATAAAACATTTTCTGATTAATTCAACTAATACTACTGACCTATCCGTTAAATTGAAAGAAGCGACAAGAAGATTTGAAATAAAATTATGTGCATTTATAGCAGAATATAATATTCCATTGAGAGTATTAGATCACTTAACATCTTTAATCCAAAATAATGTGACTCTGCTATAGTCAAAAATATGCAATTGAAGTCCACCAAAGGCATAGCAATAATAAAACACGTACTTGGTAGTACGGAAAAAAGAAATTTACAAACTAAGTTAAAGTATAGTTTATTCAGTATTCTGATCAATGATCAGTGACCAAGTAAAATTTGGTGCCTTGTGCACAGGTATTTAATTCTAACGAAAAAATTTTAGTTTCGTTAGGATAACGCACTGTCATCCGCAATTTGGCTCTTATTGCCTGTATTACACTTTAAATTTATACAAAATAAACTAGTTACATCTACCATAAATGGTATCTTTTTAGCAAAACAACGCATTCAAGGAGATTGTGTTAATTTTGAACCATCAAAAGATGAGTACTGCATGACAAACCGTGTTTTATACGCAAAAGATGCAAGTGAATGGAATGTAGATGACATCATCGTATCAGATGAATGAAAGTCATAATATTTTTATTTAACTTTTTGCAATATTTCAATGTGATAGAACATATATATGTTGAGATTCGCATTCTCTTTTTATTATATTGTATCCTATTCTGATTATATATTGTTTTCGATCTTTGCGCGTTTCAGTACGAAATATGTTTACTCGTTTGTCCGTGCTGACGCGCTTTTGCTGTTCCATTTTATATGGTCATGACTCTCGATCACTCTCCCCATTCTTGTCCGAGAGTCGTCGTGATATATATACGTTCACCAAAGGTCTAATAAAGTTTGTTACTTATACGATCAGACTATTGATTAATTCTTCAACCAATTTCGTGCTCCCCATTATCCGCGCCAACAGGTTATGGGCCCAGACGAAAAATCGTTTAATTAATTGCGATTGAGAGTGAAAATGTGTTGCCGCGTACCTTTTTCAAGCACGTGCTCCGAGAGTAGTCTGCGCGCCTGTGTATCCGTGATCATCGAGAATTTTTTTTTTCGGCGACAATGTCGAATTCGGTGAGGATTGAATTGCTCACGAAGGACAACTATGATTTCTGGAGTATAAAGGTGGAAGCGTTGATGACCAGAAACGGTACTTGGAAGTATACGAACGGAGAATTACCGATTCCGGCAGCGACGACTGAGAATGCGGCATTCCAAAAATGGCTACAGGGCGATAAAGAAGCTAAGTCTGATTTAATTTTATCTATTAGTTCGTCTGAGTTGCAACAGGTACGCGGATGTACCACATCTCGCGAAATATGGCAAAAATTACAAGGCGTTTATGCGTCAAAAGAGCCAGCCCGAAAAAACACTTTATTAAAGAAATTAGTCGTACAAAAACTATCGGAAGGAGAGGATATGCGCGAACACATGAACCGTTTTTTTGATGCTGTTGACAAGTTAGCGGTCATGGGCGTAGACGTTAATCAAAAATTCCTTAGCATTTTGTTATTGTACAGTCTACCGCAGAGTTTTGAAAATTTTAGATGTGCCATCGAATCTCGTGACGAACTACCAGGAGCGGAGGCCCTAAAAGTTAAAATTCTGGAAGAGAGTGAAGCTCGAGGTCAGAAGAAACGTGATGAAGAAGCTGGAGCCATGATTGCATGGAAGAAACCTAAAGGTGGGTGGAAAAAGCGAAATTCCTCACAATGATTTGAAAAGCATAATGATTCTAACACAAAGATTAAGATAAATGCTTTAAGTGTCGCAAACCCGGACATAAGTCTACCGAATGCCCACGAAACACCAAAGGTCACGGAGCCAAAACGACTCAAGCGCCCGATGCGTATATTGTATATGAAGCTGAGCAAAACACGGCGTTCAAAACAAGTTCCAATAGCCAAGACAGCCGTTGGTGTCTTGATAGTGGAAGCACGTCTCACGTATGCCACAGCAGGACATTCTTGTTGATATTACCAAGGCCGGATACGATCGATTGTGCTTGGCTAGTAACGCTTCGGCCGATATAGAGGCAAGAGGAATCGCTCGATTAAATATTTCAGACGGATCAACAAATCGGAAGGTTAACCTTGAAGATACATTATTGGTACCTAACTTGCGAATGAACTTGGTGTCGGTATCAAAGATCACGGACCGAGGATGCGAGATAATTTTTCGAAGAAATGAAGCAATTGTGAAGGGCTCAGACGGATCGATTCGCATGGTGGCTGATCGCATCGGATGCTTATACTATGTTCGCGGAGCGGACGAGAAGGCTCAGGCAGTTTCAGAGGACCGAGACCAAAAGGAGTTAGACCTGTGGCACCGAAGGATGGGTCACCTAAATGTACGCGACCTAGTGGAGATGACGAAGAGCAGTTTGTCACGGGCGTGAATATTGGACGAGCAGATAATTTACCCCCCTGCAGCACGTGCATGAAAGGTAAACTTACCTCTCTAAGCTTTAAACCCAGAAAATCAAGGAGCACAAGGAGACTCCATATTGTTCACTCTGATCTGTGCGGACCCGTGAGGACCCAGTCGAAAGGAGGCGCACGTTACGTCCTCACATTCATCGATGATTACACACGCTGGTGCAAGGTCTACTTTCTCAAGCAGAAAAGTGATGCCTTAAATGCATTCAAAGAATTCAAGGCCTACGCTGAGAATCAATGCGGAGAACGGATCAAATACCTTCAAAGCGATAATGGTGGCGAGTACTGCAATAGAGAGTTTGATGCTTTCCTGAAGGAGCAAGAAAACCGAAGACGACTCACTGTTTCACACACACCGCAGCAAAACGGTACGGCGGAACGCAAGAATAGGACTTTAATTGAGATGGCTCGCTGTATTTCGTTTCAGGCGGGTTTACAGATGTCGTTTTGGGCTGAAGCTGTCCACGCGGCTAACTATTTGAGAAATCGATGCGCATCTAGAAGCCTAGAAGGAAGAACATCATATAAAAGATGGACTGGAAAAATACCGGATCTAAGACATCTACGCGTTATTGGCACAAAGGCGTATGTCCTCGATAAAACGCCGTCAAAAGGAAAATTCGACGCACGAGCGAAGGAAGGCGTCCTGGTCGGATACTTAGAGATCTCCAAGGGATATAGAGTATGAGTTCACTCTGAAAATCGCGTGATTATCACACGAGATATAAAGTACCACACGGAACTTGATTCAAATTGCACTGACACGGAGAAAACCATTTTAAAAGACCTTATAGAGAATAATTCCGCAGACGCCGATACAAAAACACCTGCGGTTATTAGAGATTTTGAAGTATTACCTAATGCGATTTTTCAGGAACCGAACGTCGAAATACGCCGGGCACCTGGCAGACCACGCATTGTTCGCACCGGAAGTCGTGGAAGACCTCGAAAAGAGTTCCGATCGATCGGTACGGGAGACATCAACGACGACTACGCGGGGCAGAATGAAGATTTCATGGATGAGTCAGGTCTTGATAGTAACGTGACATCGAATGGTAACGAGGAGTTGGAGGACGATGTATTCCATGAGGCAAACCTTACAATTGCAGCAGCAAATGTAGCAGAAGTACAACTTCAAGATGCTATGACTGGATTGCTGGCGAATAAATGGATGGATGCGCTGGTAACCGAATTTAAAAACATCTTTGCACAAGATACCTGGAATGGGGGGTTGAACGGCCCAAGGATCGGAATGTAATTGGCTGTCGTTTGGTACTGACCACAAAGTTGAAACCAGATGGAACGTTGAATCGGCGAAAGGCTCGACTCGTCGCTCGTGGTTTTTTACAGCAACCAGGCATTGATTTTATGCAAACATATGCACCGGTAGCAAGGTTGGAATCGATGCGATTAATGATGGCGTTGGCTGTGCGTCACAAAATGAAGATTCATCAACTAGACATTGTAACGGCTTATCTAAATGGTTCCCTGGATGAAGAGGTGTTCATGGAAAAACCAGAAGCACTCGAGAAGATCCTCCTGGAGATTGTCCGGCGAGATGGCGAGGATAGTGCCTCCGGTAGTAAAGCGACAAAGATGTTACACGACGCTCGAGACGAGAATAGAGTTTGTCTCCTAAGGAAAGCGCTCTACGGCCTTAAACAAGCTGGACGCCAATGGCACGCGAGATTGGATGCCGTCATCCGGAAACAAGGATTAACTCCCACCAACGCCGATCCGTGTCTATATAATTTGAAATGTGGCGAAACAAGTTTGATTGTGTTAATTTATGTTGACGATATTTTGATATGTTCACAGGATGAAACGTGGATTAAAGAATTTTGTCACAGTCTGGCCAGAGAGTTTGACGTCAGGGAGCTCGGTCTTGCACGATACTGTTTAGGAATCGAGATTAACCAGAAGGAAGGCATAATCTCGCTTAACCAGCAAGGATACATTAAGGAAATAATCAAACGATTTAATATGGAGCATTGCAATACAGTATCCACGCCTGGAGAAGTTAAGGCACGAGCGACGGAAATCAAAACTCAAACAAGCAAGGAGAACAAGGACTCAAATATGCCTTATCGTGAGCTTGTCGGGAGCCTAATGTATTTGGCCATTGCTACGCGGCCAGATATTGCGTATATCGCAAGTTATCTTGCACAATTTAATAATTGTTTTGCGCAAGAACAATGGGGGACTGCAAAACGCGTATTGCGTTATCTACAGGGCACCTCTAATTTTGGTTTATGTTTTAGAAAATCTAAAAATGAACTGACTGGATATTCGGATGCTGACTGGGGCAATTGTCCAATTGATAAAAGATCTTACACCGGATACTCTTTTATTCTGAGTAGAGCAGCTGTGAGCTGGAAGGCTCAAAAGCAACGAACAGTTGCTCTGTCGTCGACCGAGGCCGAGTACATGGCACTTGCAGAGGCAGCAAAAAAAGCCGTCTACCTGCGGACCCTACTGCACGAACTCGGAGACCCCGAATTTAAAAGAATTACGATTTACTGCGATAATCGTGGCGCGCAAATTTTGACCGAGAATCCGGTTTACCATACTCGGACGAAGCATATAGATATTCGTCATCATTATATTCGACAATCGGTTAAAGACGGCACTTTTACGTTAAAATCAGTACCAACGACCGAGATGGTAGCCGACGTTTTTATAAAGATTTTGCCAAAGTCAAAACACTATCTATGTATAGAGTCTCTAGGATTAAGGAGGATATAATGTATATATATAATGTGATTTTGCGATTCTTCGATTGCGCTCGGATCGAGTAGAGCGTGTTGAGATTCGCATTCTCTTTCTATTATATTGTATCCTATTCTGATTATATATTGTTTTCGATCTTCGCGCGTTTCAGTACGAAATATGTTTACTCGTTTGTCCGTGCTGACGCGCTTTTGCTGTTCCATTTTATATGGTCATGACTCTCGATCACTCTCCCCATTCTTGTCCGAGAGTCGTCGTGATATATACACGTTCACCAAAAGTCTAATAAAGTTTGTTACTTATACGAACGGACTATTGATTAATTCTTCAACCAATTGCGTGCTCCCCATTATCCTGCGCCAACAATATACACATGTATGTACCTGACATAAACATATATGTGACATGTATGTACCTAACTTTAAATATTATTATTTATTAAATCACAACGTTTCGACACTTCTTTGAGTGTCCTGTCAAGTAATTTGTGAAAATAAAAATAAAATTATAATTTTAAGATGTCAAGAACAAATATAGTGTCGGTTTGAAAACACGTCAAGACTCTTAGACGAGTTATGAGAGACAGTCTCTCATGCGTGCGTGCGTGCGTGCGTGCGTGTGTGTGTGATTCGCGGGTGTTACATTAGTACGGAGGTCATCAATCGGGACTGGTGGAGAGAGAGTCATTGTTCAAATATATTAGGGTCCCGATTGGTTAATACAAATTATTTTTATCGATAATAAATACATTATGTAAGTGTATGTGTGGAGAGTCATGGGGAATCGGAAGTTTCGGAAGAGAGAAGAAGGAGGTTTGTAAAAATAATTCTCGGGAACTCCCTTGTTTATATATATAAGAATATACAGGGTTTGTCCGGAAAGTAATGCGTCGCATTTTTTTAAAAAAGAATTTATTGATCGCATAGGTAAAACAACTTAAAATTGTTCGAAGTATGACCCTTCTGCGTCAATACATTTTTGCCAACGCGATTTCCATGCGTCATAAGATTTCTGGAACTCCTTGACTGGGATGCTGTTCAGGGAGGCCGTCGAAGTAGCTTGTACGTTGTCAACCGACTCGAGCTGTTGTCCTTTGAGCTCCCTTTTCAGCCGAGGAAATAAAAAAAAGTCCGCCGGGGCCAAGTCGGGACTGTAGGGCGGCTGCTTGAGTTCTTCACAAACTTCCACTCGGTGTTGCTTTTGCGCATCGGTCAACACTCTGGGCACAAGTTTTGCGCAAATCTTCCGCATGGCCAAGTCTTCCGATACAATCTCGTGAACAATCGTTTTCGGCAAGTTCAATAATTCCGACATTAAGCGAACATTCATTCGACGGTCTGAATTCAATAATTGGCGCACACGAGTCACATTGTCGTCCGTTCGCGATGTTGACGGGCGTCCTGCGCGGGCCTCGTCGGCGACCTCCTTCCGACCTTCTCTAAACATCTTGTGCCATCTGTTTGACTGCGATTTGGAAAGGCAATCGTCCCCGAAAACTTTCTTGAGCATTTCAAAAGTTTCCAGCGGCGTCTTGTCCAGCTTCACGCAAAACTTTATCGCATAGCGTTGCTCTATCGTTCTCTCCATCACAAGTTCGACGCGACCACTAAGCAGAGGTTCACAGAATAAGCCGTCCTAACCCTCCAAGCGCATGGAAACAATTGAGCGACCTACCGTTGGAAAGCTAAGGGTACCCCCCTTCCTCCCCAACCGGTCCCATCGCTCTGCGATGTATAGTCGCGTCACAAAAAAATGCGACGCATTACTTTCCGGACAAACCCTGTATATATATATATATATTTATTCCATTTTATTTCTTAGTTCGCTGGAGGGAGGGGGGTAAGAGATAGAAGAAATCACGGATCTCGCCGTTGACACGAGAGAGCATAAGCGATTTCTCAAAAAAGGTGAGGAGGGAAGAAATCACGGATCTCGCCGTTGACACGGGAGAGCCTAAGCGATTCCTCAAGAAAGATGAGGAGAGAGAGATAGAGAGAAATTAAAAAAAAGGAAAAATAAGGTGGTTGATTAATTAGCGAACGAAACAAGAAACAATAAAACAAAACTCAATGATTTAATTAAACTCCCAGAATTATTTCAAACGCAAGACTAGACTTACTATTTATAGCGAGCGATGGGTGTTGAACTGTAGCTCGATGGAACCTTGGTTGAGTGCAGATGGCTCGGTGGTCCCTCGAGAACACTTGTCACGCACAAGACCACGAATAAAGCACAACTTGCAATACGAGTTACTTCGATTGGGAAAGAAGGCAAAGAATCTGAGTGTGACACTGTCTGCCGGAAAAGGTAGTAAAGCTGCTCCGTGGCAAAGTTCGCGTTTATATCCCGTTTTTAGTTCACGCCCTCCGTTTCGTCCTTTTAATAAGATCCTGCGAAAGGAAATCCGTAGACGCAGTTTTGGATATTTTTACTTTTCCCTTCCATAGGGTGGGTTCCAAAGGTCGACGAATTAGAAGTTTATTACAAGGATCCTCGAATCGAAGTTCGTTTCTAAAAGCGGGGATACCTCGAGATTAGATATCGCTTGCGGTGTTTGTTCTTAGATTTTCCGGGTGTGTATCAGAATGTTCGACGGTTATTAGTTATGCTCTTTATTGACAGGGCTGCCATTTTATGATTTCCCTTGTAGAAATTTATCACTAGTAACGCCAATTAATCACTTATTTCAAGTACTTTAAATACTGATATACAGTAATTTTAGTACTCGAAATAAGTGATAAATTGGCGTTACTAGTGATAAATTTCTATAAGGGTTGTTTGCCGTGAATCGGCGAGTGTGGATTTTTGAATTTTTCAACTATACTTCTGGTTCTTTGTTGCCGGTGTATTTGTTTTTAGATTTCTTTGCAAGAATTTCCACTTTGGCTCGATACCAATCTTATAGATGTGTAAATATATATTTTCCTTTGCTTTCGGCGCTTTTTTCTGTCTAACAATTTATGGTATTTGTTGAGCCTTTTTTGATATTCGATTGTACCGACACGTTTTTAATTTTATTATACGCGCCGCTCAATTTATTGTTTCCTGAATTCCTATCTATCTAAGAACAAACTCCGCTTTGATTGTGAGAAAGAAAAGAATCGTGAAGTACGCAGAACGTAGCAGATAATTAGTTAATATTCTACCACAGAAGTGTCATAGTAAAAAAAAAAAGAAGCATTTTCAAAATAAGAACATTATTTTTATTTGTTAGAAGTGAATATCAATGATAATTATATATTTGCAAAAATATAAATTTTATTTTTTTGACTTCAGATTCGGATTCAGCGGATCAAATTACATTAAAAATGACTTTTGTATTTCATTTGTAAAGAAATAGTAAAGATTTATATAAGGACTTTTGCCAGTTATATAAAAAATACCATTTTTTATATAATTGACAAAATCAAGGTCATTATTTAACATTTTTCGAAATCGCCACACGGCATAAAAAACTAGATGCTTCAAGCTAAATTTTGGTACCTTGGAAGTTAAATTTACGTCAAGACAATTTGGGGGGTGTGGGGGGGGTGGACGATCTTACGTGGAATGACCTATATATGTATAATATATATTATAATATATATATTTATGTGTATAAATATAATATATTTATATTAATTTTATAAATAGAGAAAGAAAAGAATGAAAAAGAGAAAGAGAGAGAGAGAGAGAGAGAGAGAGAGAGAGAGAGAGGCAGAAGCTAATTATCTGATAAAATAGAAAAATCTCACTCTTGCATTGTACATATTATATACCATACGCATGTTAACATAACAATGTTTTTGTTTATATAAAATTTCAGTCAGCCGTAAATAGAAAGAACGCGTGCTAATTGAATAAGAATATTCTAACGTAATTGAAGTATTAAAGACATTTTTTTATAAATTCTTTCTTGAAAAAAAAAGATTATTGATGTATGTCAAGATTGTATATTATAAAGGTTGTATATTATAAAAAAGTGTACAATTTATTACAATATATAAAATGGAATATTGTTTATGCTATAAAAAAGTAAAACTACGTACCATACGTGAGCGCGGTTGCCGCCGCACCGCAGTTAACTTCGCGCGCCCGCCCCTGACATACTCTTGTAACTCCGCGCTGATTGACTGATTACAATAATTAATTGCGGTGAAATTATTCATTAGATCGAAAAATAGTATGAGACATTTATTCTTAGATTTTCATTCTCTATCGAATGGTACTGAGCGTATGCGACATTTTTTTAACACCTTGTGTATATATATATATAGATTACAATAATTAATTGCGGTGAAATTATATAATGAATAATTTCACCGCAATTATTTATTGTAATCAGTCAATCAGCGCGGAGTATATATATATATATATATATATTATAAAGTTTGATAACTCTTTCAGAGGAATTCCGGAGTATACAGCCTTGCTTTGTTTCTTGTCGGGATGTATCACAATATTTCTTGGCATTCTACGCTTAGGCTTTTTAGTTGAATTCGTGTCGACGCCGGTGGTATCCGGATTTACGTCAGCTGCGAGCGTCATCATTGCATGTAGTCAAGTGAAGAATTTGTTGGGTTTGGATATTCACGGTGAGAATTTTCTTGAAATATGGTGGGGATTAATAAACCATATAACCGATACCAAAATACCAGACTTGATTCTGTCTTGTTGCTGTATCTTAGTTCTACTCGTCTTGAAGGTATATTTTAATTAGAGGATATTTTATTTAGAAAATATTTTATTAGAATTATTTGATTTAGAAAATAAAAGTAACCCAGGTAGCAAGCATACGTCATTTTGACATCGAATAACGTCATTAGACGTCAAAATTACGTCATTTATTGATATGTTTAATGACATCAGTTTGCTACTTAGACACATGATTTTTTTGATACATATTCATATCAGGGAACTCATCCCGAATAATCTGACAATATATGTTATGGTTATGACCATGTCATGACCTTGACAATATATTTCAAGGTCAAGGTTCCTTAACAGCACACACATGTTAGATTAGGACATCGTGGATGTCCTTTGAACATCTTTCGAACATGTATGCTGTTATATTAGGATTATTGGAGATGAATTCTTTTTATAAGCATATATATTTATCTTTTTTTATACGCAATTACGATTACAATTTTTTTCAGTATTTTAAGGACAAAAAGATCGCCAACGTCACATTGAGAAGATTTCTTTGGACGATGGGTACGGCTAGGAACGCTCTCGTGATTATCCTTTGCGCAGCCACATCTTATATTTTCGAAATGTACGATGGTGCACCCTTCATCCTTACGGGCCACATCGACGCTGGTCTGCCAAGTGTCGAATTGCCCCCATTTTCAAGAACAATCGGCCAAAACCAGACTGAAAGTTTCATCGATATGGCCAAAAATTTCAAGTTCGGACTCCTGGTTATACCGCTCATCTCCATTATCGGAAATGTCGCCATTGCAAAAGCCTTTTGTACGAAATACTCTTTTAACATATGTATTTTACTTAAGGTAATGCTGGGATCTATTCTATTTGACCGATGAAATGTTAATCCTTTTCAGGGATTAAAGTACATATACATATGTTAATAAAGGTATGGATGGTCACCTTTGATTAAAAAAAAAGAGAAAATTTCGAAAATTTACCGACAAGCTCTCACTTTAATTGATATAAATATTTATTTTATATTAAAGTTATACAGTTTTCAGGTATAAAATAAGATTAGGAGGGCAAGGAGACATATGAAAGAACAACAGGAAACTTATAAAATTGAGTTTAGAGATTTAACCTTCAAAAATTAGATTTATGTAAAATATATACAATATTGAAATAATAACATAAAAAAGAGCAATCAATAAGTTCCTGGATATTGTACATAAAATTTTTAGTGTATATATATATATATATATATATATATGTATATGTATAAAACCAATAAAAATAAATAAAATTACAAGTAACATTTTGTCGGTAAAATTTTTACAGACAAAGTCAACTCCAGCATTATCTTAAAGGAATCCTAAACGTCCTTTGAGAAGTCCGTTATTTCTTCCTGTTTTATCGACAAAATGTGAAGTTAGATAAACTATAAATCTATTTATTAACTATACGGATTGTTTTTTTACCTAAAATTAAAGCGCTTCCCCCTTTGTTGATATCAATACTTTAATTTGTACAAAGACGTAATTCTTTCCAATCGCTAGTCAATAAATAGGTAAATCAAATAATCGACCAAACTAGCAAAAATAAATTTATTTAATTTTACGACGTTTCGACCATGCGATTGTGATCCTTATCAAGTAAACAATAACAAATTAAGTCATATCAGGAGTTCACAAATTATTGTTAAATTAAAACATTATATATCTTAATGCCACACAGTCAGAAATAAAGAAGACGAGAGACAGCATAGAACATATCACGGTAACGATCGTCAACAGAATAAACATTCTGTAAATTCTGTAATTAAAACATTATATATCTTCTATTCGCTCGTGTATTGTATAAAACAACAAATGTATTCTAAAAAAGGCCAATTTATCGAACAATATTTAAGATGTTATATCTAATTAAAATTTATTCCATAAACAATATATTAAAATTACAAAAAAACCTTCCATAAACGTTTCAACCGCACGCGGTCTTTCTCAGTATAACAGTGTTAAGTAATTTATAATTTTTACAAAAAATAGATCATAATATTCTTAAAATTACTAATAGTCCGTTACTTTGAGTCGAGAATTATATGAAATTTATGCGTGTTACAATTTGTCATATTTAATTTATAAAAGTATTCGCCGTGATATGATCTTATGATGTTAGTCCGATCTCGTAAATTATTTCTTCCTTTTTAAACGAAAAATTTTTAATATCCATAAGCGTTGTGTCGTCTCTTCTCACAGTTTTAACACAGTTTTTTTAAAAAATTGAAAATATTATAAAAAGATAAAACCAACAGTCTAACAAGACACCTCATTTTGAACTGTGTGTTGACAGTTCAAAATGAGGTGTCTTGTTAGACTGTTGGTTTTATCTTTTTATAATATTTTCAATTTTTAAAAAAAACTGTATTAAAACTGTGAGAAGAGGCGACACAAACGCCTATGGATATTAAGAATTTCTCGTTTAAAAACGAAGAAATAATTTACGAGATCGGACTAACATCATAAGATCATATCACGGCGAATACTTTTATAAATTAAATATGACAAATTGTAACACGCATAAATTTCTTATAATTCTCGACTCGAAGTAACGGACTATTAATAATTTTAAGAATATTATGATCTATTTTTTGTAAGAATTATAAATTACTTAACACTGTTATACTAAGGAAGACCGCGTGCGGTTGAAACGTTTATGGAAGGTTTTTTGTAATTTTAATATATTGTTTATAGAATAAACTTTAATTGGATACATCTTAAATATTGCTTGATAAGTTGGCCTTTTTTTGAATACATTTGTTGTATTATATATCTTCTGTAATTAAAACATTATGTAGGATTCTAACAGAGACACTCTTTATGATTTCAATCTAAATGTATTTCGGATCTCATTTACAAAGTTTCGAAGATTACATGCTCGCTCACTCGTCACCTTGTTCGCGGGTCTATACTCTTATTTATTTTCGCTTAGTGCTCGCTCGATCGATAGACTCGTTCGACGTTCGAATAACGATTGCCTCGTCCTTCGCATTCGCTGTTATGATCGCGCCTTACATATCTAAATTCACACCCGTAACAAGTGGGGTCCAATGCCCGAATTCGCATAGATACAATTGTTTCCTTTTCAAATCCCACACTCGGCCCTCCTGACGAATTATTTGCCCCGAATAATTAATAGTCAATTACATCCTTCTCTTTTAATCCTACACTCGGCTTACCTCTATTCGCCTCGAATGATTGCTACACACTCGACCAAGGTTTCATGAATTCGGCGCAAGTAGTATACAAAGGCACATCGCCTTTAGGTAACGGATGAAGTTGACCTTCTTGTTTGGCTTGTTTTCGATTAGCAAGTATGTAGGGGATGCAGTTTGTTATTAACTTCTCGATTTTATTCTTTAAATCGGGTATGAAATATTCTTTTCGAACAACGTCTTCTGTTCTCTTCGCTGATAAGTGGCCCCTGCAATGAACCATTTGTATGACTTCGTTCTGCATACGATCTGGAACCACCAACATATCTCTGCCCTCGACGAATTTATAAAGCACACCTCCCATCAACGTATACTCATTGTTAGGTTTTAACTTTAACGTCTCTATCGTCGTTTTTAATTCCGAATCGTCTGCTTGGGCTGCCTTTACTTTTACCAAAATGCCGTCTTCAATTATCGTCATGATTGCGTTCCTGCTTAAAGCGTCGACATGTCTCATTCTGGTGCCTAATCTGTGTTCCAGCGTGTAGTCAAAATTCTCTAACTTCTCAGCCCATCGCCAGATCTTCGAAGAGACTTCCTTTTTCCGCATAGTTTGCGTAAACGCCGCGCAGTCTGTTAATACCTTAAATTTTAATCCCAGTAAATATACGCGAAATTTTTTAAGTGCTTCTATCACAGCTAACACTTCTAATTTGTAGCTTTTATATTTTCTTTTGGCCGGCCGCGACTTACGACTCATATATTGTACCGGATGTAATTTACCGTCTATTCGCGATTGTTGCAATAATATTGCGCCCAATCCATCCTGACTGGCGTCGGTGTGCAGCTCTGTCTCTAGTGTCTGATCGAAAATCCGCAATACCGGCTCATTACTTAACATTTGCTTCAATTTATTAAAAGCTTCTTTTTCTACTTCTCCGAATTGAAACATTTTATCTTTACGCAATAGGTCACTTAAAGGTTTCGCCGTCATCGAATATCCGCTAATAAATTTGCGAAAATACCCCGTGAGGCCGAGGAAACTTTGTACCTGTTTGATCGTCGGTTCCGGAAATCGCATCACCGCTCTTACTTTTTCCGGAGATGGCGATACCGTTCCGTTCTCTATTATTTGGCCTAGAAATTCGATACGCCTTTTCATAAATTTACATTTCTTAATATTTAATTCTAATCCATACTGGCTCGCTATATTTAATACTATTTCTAATCTGTCTGTTGCTTGCTTAAAGTCAGCTGCCAAAACTATAATATCGTCTAAATATAGTCATTATTCCGTCGTTAACCAATGGTCGAAAAATTTGATTAATAAATCTTTGGAATATGGGAGGAGAGTTAGACAAACCGAAAGGAGCCCTCAAAAATTGATATTGACCTTCATGCGTAATAAATGCAGTGTATTTTTGATTTTCTTCATCAACTTCTACATGCAAAAATCCATTTTCGAGGTCAAGCGCACTAAATAATTGCGCATCCTTCAATTTGTCTATCTGATCCTCAATCAATGGCAACGGATACCCATCTCGTTCTATAATTCGATTGAGTGGCCAATAATCGATGCACACCCGTGGAGATCCGTCTTTTTTCTTAACTACAACTACCGGACTAGCATATTCGGAAGAACACGGTTCAATTATACCATCTCGGAGCCATTCTTCTATTTGTTTCTCTACTATTTTCTTTTCCGGCGTAGCTAATTTACATGGTCTCTGAAAAACCGGTTTTTCGTCCTTAAGCGTTATTTTAAGTTTAATTCCCGTCGTTTTACATTTTTAGGCTCATATTCGGTTATTAATTTTTTAATTCTGTCCCTTGTTTCCGCGTCTGGAATGGCTTCAATGTCCGCTTGCGAATCTTCCGGAATGTTAATATGGGCGAGAAAATCGGCTTCTAATGTTTTAAAGACAGTCACGCCGTCTTGATTAAAATTCAAATTAGCTTGTTCTAATATATCCTTACCAATGATTGCTTCTACGTTCATCGTCTCATAAGGTACAACATAAAATGTCAAAGGAAAGTCATCACCGTCTATACACACTACAGTTTGAAAATAGCCCACGGCTTTAGACTCACCGTCTCCAAATCCAGAAAATACGCGCGTCGATTGAGCCAGTTCAAATTTTTTCAGTTTCGCAAACGCATCCTCTCGAATCAAACTAGCAGGGCTTCCCGTATCTATAAGTGCTCTTAAATTTTCGTTACCAATAACAACATGTTTGATTACATTAACCAAGGCCGCGCTTACCAGATTAACCGCCTGCTCCGCCTTCGAACTAGAACCGCTTACTCTTTTTTCCGTACAATTTCTTGCTTCGTGTCCGAATTTGTTGCAATTAAAGCATTTTTTTCTCAGTGCCTTCTTATCACAATTCCTAGCGTGATGTCCACTTGCGCCACAATTGAAGCAACGTATCGACGCTCCGTCCTCCCGGCTGTCAGTTGTCCTCCTTCCGTCCTTGCGCGAGAATTTCATACCCGCGTTCCTCGTCAATTCGTCTCGAGTCTTCGTGTATTTTGACGCTTTGTCTGGTTGGTTTTTTCTCATTTGTTTCATAAATCTCGAGTTTATCCTTAAACCCACAAACGGTTTTTGCTCCATATAAAATCATTTTGTTACTTGCTTCGTCGTTGATGCCGTTAATCACATAGTCAATAAATGCATCCAACTCCACCGCGCCTCTTGAAGCCAGCTCTCTCATCGCTAGAAAATACTCTTGTACAGTCTCTTTCTTTTTCATCCTGCGTTTCTCTAACATTTTGTGTAGCTCGGCGCTAATAATTTTAGTGGCGAACTCTTTTGTCAATGCATCCTTCAGCTTCTTCCACGTCTTGATAATTCCTTCGCTCTGTATGAATAATTTGGCCACGCCTTTCAGTGATCTTTTTGCGAAGACTACCTTATGTAGATCATCCCAATCGAACATGGCAGCGGCTTCCTCAAAATCATTAATCCAGCGTTCAACTGGATACGAATCGGTTCCACTAAATGCACAAACCGAATCCTCCACATCTCTATAATTTAAGATAAATTGTTTAGCGTCACTATTCGCATTTCTTTGCCTCCTATCTCTTTCAGGTCGACGGTTGTTTCCTCGTTCTATGCTGACTATGCTTCCTCTTTCCTTATCGACATCGGCATTCTCGTCGTTGATCTCGTCGTCATTTCTACCATCCATCTCGACGTCGTCGTCCTCTCCGTCATCCTCGTCCTCGCTGCGAACTGATCGCAAAGACCCGACGTCCATCAGAGCCCTCACTATCCGCTCTCTCAGCTGCTCGGCATTTCCGGTGTATGCAATGCCAAGAACATTGCAAATTGATATCAAATCTCCTATTGAAAATCTCACAGCATATTGGAGCTTAGCTCTAAATTCGGCTGAGTCGTCGTTGAATTCGAACCCGCGGAATTCTTGCAGTCGCCGTCGATTATTCCTATCTCCATCTTCCTCGAAAATAAATTTATGCATGACCACTATCACCGCTTGCGATGCTGCGGCAATTTTTTGTTTAATTGCAGATATTTGCCCTAACTCCTCCATAACTTCGTCTATCGATTTTGCTTTTGCAAACGGCAATTGGAGATTTTGCGTTAAGCTCTGGAATATTCTCGATCATACATACGTTGTTCGTCTATCTTCGTTCCTCCTTAGGATTTTCGAACGCTCTCGATCCCTGCTTCATCGCTGTCTATCGTCTATCTTCGTTCTTCTTTTAGATTTTCGAGCGCTCTCGATCCTTGTCCTACGTCTTCTTCTTGTCTTCTACCTCTCGTCCTTCGTCTCTCGTCTTTTCCTCGTTTTTCGTCTTCTTCATCTTTCGTCTTATCTTCGTTCCTCGTCTTTCCTTCGTCCCTCGTCTTATCCTCGTCTTTCGTCTTTCCTTCGTCCCTCGTCTTCTCCTCGTTTTTCGCCTTTTCTTCGTTTCCTATTCTTTGAATTTCCTCATTTCTCGTACTTCATTTCACACAGTCTTTCAACTTTCCGCTCTTCCTTTCGGGCACTCATTAACACTTTCTCTTCGACTCGTTTTGGCACGGACGAGCCCCCAATAATTTGTAGGATTCTAACAGAGACACTCTTTATAATTTTAATCTAAATGTATTTCGGATCTCATTTACAAAGTTTCGGAGATTACATGCTCGCTCACTCGTCACCTTGTTCGCGGGTCTATACTCTTATTTATTTTCGCTTAGTGCTCGCTCGATCGACAGACTCGTTCGACGTTCGAATAACGACTGCCTCGTCCTTCGCATTCGCTGTTCCTTATGATCGCGCTTTACATATCTAAATGCACACACGTAACAAGTGGGGTCCGAATTCGCATAGATACAATTGTTTCCTTTTCAAATCCCACAATTATATATCTTCATTCTGTAATTAAAACATTATGTCTTCATGTCACACAGTCAGAAATAAAAAAGACGAGAGACAGCATAGAACATATCACGGTAACGATCGTCAACAGAATGTTCATTCTGTTTTGGGTGAAAAGTTGATTTGACTTCGGAATGATCCCTAAGAGTCAACTTGACCACATAACATTACAACATACAAGATATCGCATTTTAAGATCAAAATACTGCTTTAAAGCTTTATAACTCGAAAAGTACTTCACAAAAAAACATTTAATTATAGTGTTTTGGAAAGCTCTCGAAATCAGCTACAAAAATATGTAAGAAAAAATATAGTGTTCCATTTAAGAAATTGAAGTTGATTTTTACGTAACCTTCAAATAGCTATTCAAGGTCAAATCAATGACACTATCTCATGTATCTCTTGAAATCACACAGCTTTTATCTGAAACATTTTTCTCTTAAACTTATGAATTTTGAGAAATATCAGTCCGAAGATTAAAATGGCCTACCCTGTATAGTACCTAGGTTACAGAATTATGAATTCAAGAATTCTGCAACCTAGATATGTGAGACTATACAGATTGATAAATCTTTTTTCTGTTTATTGTACAAATTTCCTGTTTCCTGTTTATTTGACCACAAATTAAAGTATTAATATTAACAAAAAAAAGGAAGCGCTCTAATTTCAGGTAAAAAACAATCCGTATAGCCAATAGATTTATAGTTTATCTAACCTTACTTTGTCGATAAAACAGGAAAGAAACAAGACTTCTCAAGGAAGGTTTAATATATCTTAATATTTTTAAAAAATTAATTTATAAAGAAGCGAAATGAAAAAATTATTGCAAACACATGCTTCTTACAATAAATTATTGTTACGAGAAAATCACTTTGATGAAATATTTCTCATTGTTTAAAGCACGAGGTAAGTCACTAGACGCCACCCAGGAAATGCTAACACTCGGATTGTGCAATGTAGTGGGTTCATTTTTCCATTCGATGCCTGTCACAGGATCTTTTTCAAGAAGCGCAGTGAATAATGCCTCTGGTGTTAGAACACCTTTAGGTGGCATGTACACAGGTAAATTATAAAAAAAGTAATCTCGAATTGTAACAATAATTAAAAAATGTCTGTGATAAGTTATATCCCTATAAGCGCATGATATTATTTAATGTTCTAGCCGTATTCTTAGAATATTAAATATTCTAAAAATACGCCTAGAATATTGCTTAAATATTAAATAATATGATGCGTTTATAGGGATATAAAAAAACTCAAGTAGAAAACTAACGTCATTTAGACGTCAAAATGACGTCATTTTGACATCTGTAACGTCATTTTGACGTCTAAAAACGTCTAGAACGTCATTCGACGTCTAATGACGTCATGTGACGTCTAATGAGAGAATTTTATTTAACTTTTAAACAAAAAGGGGATAGAGGGGATAAAAGTTATTAAAACAAAAATGAACAAAATTTCAGGTATTCTAGTCATACTTGCGCTAAGTCTATTAACACCATATTTTTATTATATTCCGAAAGCGACATTAAGTTCTGTCATAATTAGCGCAGTGATATTTATGGTAGAAATTGATATGATACTTCCAATATGGAAGTGCAATAGTGAGTATATATTCAAAATAATTAATAATAATGTGAAGTAATTATTACGAAAATAAATAGGAATGTACATATTTCGTAAACTATTATATAATATACAGTATCCAATTTTAATTGATCATCCCTAAAAACTTATTTTTGATTGTACACAAAATATTTCAAACAAAATAAGTTTGATTTGAAATTTAAAAAATTGTAATTTTATTTTAAAAAATATAAATGATCTTTAAATGAGCTTGAAAAACAGAAAATAGCGTTACTGACTTATCTCTAAAGGTTTTTCAAGCTCATTTAAAGGTCATTTATATTTTTTTTCAATAAAATTACAATTTTTTTATACAAATAGATTCCTGTTTGCAATTTTCTGCATAAAAAGTTGACCAAAAAATGAATAGTTAACGCGATATTTCACATCTAAATTTGACAAAAAAGTACATAAACTATATGAAATATTTCGTAAAATATTCATTTTTAACCATCTTATTCTTATAATTTTATGTTAAAAATTGCGAAGATCGAATCGATTTATATAAAAAAATATAGTAAATCCATTTAAAAAAAATTACCTTCAAATAACCTTGAGATAGAAACGCCCTACAAAAAGTCAGTAACGCCATTTTCTGTCCCCTTTCAAATCAAACAATTTTTGTTTGAAACATTTTGTTGCACAATCAAAAATGAAAAAAATTTGAGGAGTAACCGATTAAAGTTAAACACCCTGTATATTAATAAAAATTTACGCGCTAATTATATATAAAATTTAATAAAATATTATAATATTTCTTTGCAGAACGTGATTTAATACCAGCATTTGTGACATTCCTCGCTAGTTTATTCGCTGGAGTAGAACTAGGAATTTTGATAGGTACAATAATCGATCTTATTATATTGATATATCTTAATGCGCGGCCAACAATAAATATCGAATATAAAAACGTAAGAAAGTAAAAATCACAATATTATTTTCGAAATGTATTTTCATTAAATATAAGTTGAAAAGATATCCCAATATGATGAAATGGATTTTCTTTTGACAGACTTCAATAACGAATTACGTCATGATTCGTCCTATTGCTGGACTTTTATTTCCAGCAGTAAATCATTTAAGATCGCATTTAACAAAGGCATTATCTACACATGACAATATTCCAAGAAGTCTCAATACCTTGACGAATATAGTGTTGGATTGCGAGCATATCGACAAAATTGATTTTACTGTCGCACAGGTATCAAAATATTTATTTATATTATTTATGTAAATAAATACACAATATATATATATATATATATATATATATATATATATATATATATATATATATATTATATGTTATATAATATTATATTATACAGTTTATATTATATACCCCAAGTAGCAAGCGTACGTTATTTTGACGTCGAATGACATCATCAGATGTCATTTTGACATTTAAAGACGTCATTTGCTACCTGGGACACTATACTAAAAAAATAGGGAACACTTTTGCTATTCTACAAATTATGCTATTTTTAAACCACTGAAACTCGATGAAAAATCATCGTAGACTAAAAATTAAAAAAACTTTTTAAAGCTTGAAAGCGGTGATTTAAAAAACTTTATCTTTTCGATCTACGCTTTAAAAAAAGGACACATATTGTTTTGTTTTTTAAAATTACATATTTTCAATACTTTGCACTCCGATAAAAAATTCTATCGAAATTTCATAAACTGCAACATTTTACCTACACACACACACAAAACGATATTTTCAAAATTTTTCTACAATTTCTTTTTACCGAGTTATTGATTTTGAAACTGAACCTATATATTTTAGAAATGATATTTGGAAAAAACCATCGTAGATAAAAAATTAAAAAAACATTTTAAAGCTTATAATAATATCAACTTTAATGCGATGTTAATTTTACAAAATTTTTTTATTTTTTCTTGTTCAGGAAAATACAGATTTAGGTAGAAAATCGTGTAGCTAGGTCCAAAAA